TAAAAACTATCAGGCACCCTATTTTTATACACGTAAATTTTTTAAATTTTGCTTTAAATTGTGGAGGTCTATCGTATAGACCATATAGCAGACACCAAGACAGCTGGAACCGCAACTCTGAAATCTAAAGTTTTGCCAACAGTTCCTCAGACCTTCAAGAAAGGTTCTGTTATCTCAACCCTGTGGAGAACAACAAGAGGGGAAGAAAAATACAACCAAAAAGTGAACTGAATTACTCTAACCTACCACTTTTCACCACTTAAACCATTTTTGTCTTGCTGCCCCAGGCTCCACAAAGGGAAACAGAAAAGGAAATATTGGAGTAAGAAAACAGGGAAAAAATGAAAAAAGAACAAAAAATGCATTAGGAAGAAAGAGGAGCCACAAATAACTAACTGAAGTGCCAATTTGACTCTCCAAAAATACAATAAAATGTTAAGAATTTGTGACATTTCTGAAGTGGAACCTGTCACCCCCCTCCTCCCCAGTCTCCACGTTGCCTACCAACATCAGACAGGACTCAGGCTTCTCAATTTTAGTTAAGTCTATTTGAAAAAAATATATACAAGGACATTCATCCAACTGGGATCTGAATTTAAATTTCTCACACATTTCCACTGGGGCTGTTATTCGGTCACTTCTCATCATTACCCAAGAACAATTCACTTTGAGTGAATAAATATTCTGCGGAGTTACTAAGCTAATGGTCACAAATTTTGAAAAATGTGGGCTCTACAGGAAACCGAAATCGGGAAGAGTTTTCAGAGGCTCCAGAGTGAGTCACGAGCCTAGTGTAGGCCCAACTTTGAAGCTCCAGAAACATCTCCCTGTATGTTCCAACTCAATCTCTGTCCCCTAATGAACTCGGACACCGGCACGACGTGCAGCACTGCAACACCTCTCCCGCCCATTGCTGCAATGCTCGGAGAAAAGTGGAGACCCAAGAAACACATGGAGCTAGCCACCCGCGAGCACTCCCAGGGCGCTACAGTTCTCAGGTCCCCCCCACACAGGCCACAGGTGGCGCCGCCCCCCGCCCTCCGCCCCGCGCCCCCTGCTGCTCGCCTGCGCTCCCCGCGCGCACTCGGGGCTCTCGGCCTCGGGCCGTCCTTCACGGGAGGCTCCGGCCCCGACCCACCGCCCCGGGGCCCGGGCAGC